CGCCATGACGACGCGGACGCGCTCCCAGGGTGGGCGGCGGGCGGGACCAAATTCCCCAGGAACGTGGGGGGAGCCGTGTTGTAGCCGCGAGAGGCGCGGAGGCCGTGCGTGTCGTCTGGGGACCCTGAGCAGTCTGTGGGGACTGGGGAGGGCAGAGACAGCGACGTAGGAGGTGCGAAGCCAAGGGGTTCCCGAGGGGAAATGAGAGAGTCGGACAGGCTGTAGCCTGGGCCCCCCGGAGAGCAGGTGGCGGGAGGGGCGGGGCCTCCGAGCGCCGTGGGCGGAGCTTCCCCGACGGCCGTGCGCTCCGGGCGCTCTCCCTTAGTATCGCGGGCTCTGCGTCTGCTGTTATCACAGATTTCATGTAAATGCGAAGGCAGAATAGTGGGGGGCCCTTCAGCGCTCGCCCGCAACCACGGTCAAATCAGGGCCAATCCGACCTTGTACCTTTCCTCTACTCGCTGCATTATTTCAAGAAAATCCCAGGCATCTTTCCCCCATAAATATTTCGGAATATAAATACGAAAGATAAGAACTCTTTTTAAAAACAGAACCACAATAGCAGTACCTAAAATACCACAGTCACTTTTAACATCTTCAAGTATTCTTGACTCAATTGTCTCATAAATGTCATGTTTTCTTAGGGGTTGCGGGTTTGAATCAGAATGCCAATAAAATCCACACAGTTCGACAGGCTGACATGTCTGTGGGTCTCCTTTAATCCGTGCACTCTCCCTCCCTATCGTTTCGTTGTTGTTGCGATGCATTCACTAAAGAAACTGTTTCTGTCCTTGATGCAGGTACCTAAGGGTTATAAGCCACGAAACTGGGTCGGCCCCGCCAACCCCGCCCGCCTGCACCGCCCTGCCCCCCGGGGCATTCCCTGCGCAGGGGCCCGGCCTCCCCAGCCCCGGCCGCTGCCACGGGCTTGCTCGGTCCCTCTAGGACCTGACACTTGTTTGATGTCATTTATGGGCTCTTGTTGATAACAGATTATAGTAGGAATTCAGTGAAGAACCTGCCTCTCTCACACCCACATCACTTGTGCTATTTGTGGTTTTGTTTTCTACGCCCCGCTCCCCGGACTGTTTATTTCTTCTAGCTCCCCATTCTCCAGTGCCCCCCTCCCGGCTCCTGTCACCGCTGATTAAAAATCTCCCCACCTTCAAGGCTAGGACCAGAGATGGCATATCCCCTGTCCTTCCCATAACCTTACAGGTCAGAAGGGCTGTTTCCCTCCTCTGGGCTTCCATATACTTTGTTCCACCATCTTTTTCTTTTTTTAAATATGTTTTTATTGATTTCAGAGAGAGGCGGGGGAAGAGAGAGAGAGAGAGAGAGAAACATCAATGATGAGAGTCACTGACCGGCTGCCTCCTGCACGCCCCCCACCTGGGATTGAGCTCGAAACCCAGGCGTGTGCCCTGACCTGGAATCGAACCTCGANCCGGGATTGAGCTCGAAACCCAGGCGTGTGCCCTGACCTGGAATCGAACCTCGATCTCCAGGATCGTAGGTCGATGTTCAACCGCTGAGCCACGCTGGCCGGGCTCCACCATCTTTTCTGACACATCTTTTTATACGTGTACCCACCATTATTTGTGTGTGTGTCTTAAACTGCAGACTCCTTAGGGGGATGGGACTGTGCTTTGTCTTTGGATTCTCCCACAGCCCTTGACAAAATCCTTTGTTCATAGTGATTACCCAGTAACCGTTGGCCAAGTGGGTAAAAAATTCATTTGCGTATGTGGTAGGTTACTTTAGTTCTTTCTGTTTTGTTGCCCCAACAAGGTTGTAGATTCCAGGGCAGGTACTATGTTTCCAATAGTCCCAGAATTTTATACCCAGCTGAAATGATCAAATGCTTGTTTCCATACATTTTTTAATGGGTATTGGGTAACCCTTTCTAATTTGTACTTAATTCTTTTTCTTAGAAAAATTGCCAAATTCCCTGTTTTATACATAGATGTGCTATAATAAGTAGGTCTCTGTACAATCAATTGGCTAAATTGCGTATTATAGTGTAGTGGACACTGCTGGTTGCCTACTTGCACTTACCAACAGAAATAGCTTTGCTTAGGTTTCTCCTCACATCCCCAATTCCAGCAGTAGATCCTGATTACTTTAGGTCAATCACTGAATTCCTGAGTCTTCTGCCCATGGTTGATTTAGAATTGAGTATGTGACCCAATTCTGGACACAGACATTAGGAGAAGGCTTCTGGGAGACCTCTGGAAAAGGCTTCCTCTCTCCTAAGAAAGAGGCACGCATAGATACAGTATCTTTCTCTTTCCGGACATTGTAGTGTCCAGAAGTGGTTCCTTGGAATTGCAACAGCCATCAGAGGCCACGAGGGGACCCAGCATTAAGGTGAAGCAGGAGACAGGAAGAAGGCTCTGGGCCTGGATTACATCATTTCACCTTTGAATGTTTGGTACCTGCATCCCATATCTCTTTCTTTCAGCTGAAAACATTCTGACATACAATGATTTCTAAACACTCACTGCTCAAAGTGTGAACAGCAACACAGGAGCCTGTTAGAAATGCAGAATCCCAGGTCAGCCCAGACCTAAGGAATCAGAGTCTGTGTTTTAAGATCTCCCCCAGGAGATTCGTAGACACATTGATGCCCTACAATTACCGCTGTTTTAGATAATCAATTATTTAATCAATTCATTTATGTATTTCACATTTATTTTGCTTAGTGTTTGCAATGAGCACAATACAAAGGTATCCAGGCCTCCTGCAAACTAAAGCAATGAGATGAGTGTGGTAACAGGCACAGGAGCTGCAAGCTATACATTTCAGTAGCATGGGGGGAGCAATTAATCTTGCTTAAAACCCC